TGAAGCTAACACTAAGATTTCCTAATGTTATGGTCAAGTCATTATCACAGTTGACTGTTATCATTACCTAATTTGATTTAAGGAACCGAAGTCAATAGAATAAGCTGAATTCATTGTACAGGAAGGTGACTGGAAAATAGTACATTCATCCAGTAGTACATAGAAAAAACCAAAGTGTTCCAGATATTGTTGATCAGTTTATTGACCTCTTTGGTTGATACTGTGTTGAATAGAAACAAGATTGAAATACCATAATCACTATGTGGCATCTAAAAATATCGTCAAAAGTAATCCAGGTAAAATTTGATTCCACTCACTGACTAGATGTAAAAGCTCTAAAAAACAGCTGATAAGAAGCTTTAAGGCAACAGATATTGCTAACGTTTTCCAGGCACCAAATAGAGCTACGTCTTTGGTCAACTTCTTCAATGTTGTCAACAGTTCAAGCCAAGGTATTGTTATTGTACATCAAACCAGTGTTGTAAACTGAATACTCAAGTTCGGTTTTAGAATCTTTCCAATGAAATCAGAACTTGGAAGTAATGAATACCCAGATATTTATACGTCATTCAGTATGAACTTTGCCTAAACATTTATAAATACTGGTCTGTCTTGCACAGTGCATAACAAATATTTTCAAGAACATTTGTTTGTCTTTGCGCACTTCTTTATGTTCCACATTAGTCAATAATACTTCTTGGTGTCAGTGCTCAGAATGTTTTGTTGTTGAGTTGCATATGTCTTACCAATAAATAATACTAAGTGTCATCAAGACTATGGTCAAGAGAATATAGTTATTGATGAATTTGTGATATTCTTACGACTTGTTTTGATCGTTTATCACTCAGATAGTATGTGACCTGCTGTATAACAATCGAAAAGTTTCGTCATTTTATGCATTCGTCGTTTATCATAATTTTTTCTTGGTGTCATTTTGTCAGTCGTCCAGCACTTTTTTAGCTTACTGATTTCGTAGTTGGTAATAGGTATACGAATCGGCAACTGAAAAAAGCATCGGAGTTTGTACATTTGGAAGAAAACTGCCATCATTTGCTTGCTATCAGAAGATAAAAAGACTTCATCTGCCGCATAGGCTGAGGACAAAACGTTGCTAAGCATTTTCCTGTTTTGTTAAAAATATGTCAAACTGTACTCACTATATAAGTCTAGAAAGTATTTATTTCTTCAAGTTTATAAACTGTTGATACGTTTTCACCAGTATCTATGAAATAAGTGCAAGCTACTAACTTAACGACTAAAAAATTTCCACTGTTTACTATTCTGAGGGATGCATTCAAGATAAAGATTCATTCTAGCTTCCACTATCCAATGTTATAGTTTCTGGAACTTGATGGGTACGATCACGACCACAAAATAAGAAGTTTTACTTGATCTCAGTTAACAGTCACTTATTAGGAAAACAGCATGAGTATTTTGTTGCTTGTGTTATCCCTTCCTGGATTCCACTGTTAGTCGCTATCCATCACTAATATGTACTATTACCACCTATTATTTTCTTTGTGTTCACTGGTCGATTTTATAGTCTGATTTGTCATGATACTTGTTTCCTGTATTAATTGATTAGGTCTTGAAGTTTGTTATTCATTTCTGTTCCCATATGTATGTATTCATGTTTAGATGTGAAGGATGTATTTGGTGTTGATTTTACGATTGAAATGTATCAAATGACTTATGTTGAACACTGATAGCTTGCTGTACACAATTTTAAACTTAGTGCATTGGCGAAGATTTAGAGCACACAAAAATAAATTGGCTTCATCTTACAATGTTTGTTGTTCTTCCTTTGCGAAAATCTTCGACATTGTTAGGAATGAGCTATCCTTACTAGAAATAACGGTGACAAAACCTTTCAAGCTAATAAAAATTGATCTTCATAGGAAAGCAAAGCGAACTGTAGTAATTTGGTGAAAACTGTTGAATTAACCTAATTATTGGGCGAACACTACGCTGACACACAGGTGTATTAACAAAACTTGATTCAGCCACTAACAATAGAGGACAAACAAACTGATCAACATTTAATACACTCAAAAACAATTATTTAAGGATTTAGAGAAAGTGTAATGATAGATCTTGATGAGTTCTTTGATGGTATATTTATGTTAATGAAACTCATCTTATGCTTAAATTCTGCATAAATTATATCAGGTTGGCTATACTCATAACTCATCCTGAACTTTAAAACATATAATAACAGGTTATTTATGACTCTGGAGAAGTCAGCAGGACGATAAACATTTGATGTGAAGACTAAATAGACAATGCAGAAGGAATGGTGCTCCTGGTTTTCGAAAGATTAGTTTACAGATGATCGCTGAAATTAGTCATACTGTAACGCAGTTCCAAGGACTCCAATAGCATAAAAACTTCTTTTATGTATGAAAATTACGTCCAGAACCTCCAAATATGTAGTATTTAACTGGTACAGTGTTTGGGTGACCATAATGAAACATTAACCCAGTTTTATTTTGTTTGGTTAATCATATTCTATAAAATGTATCTAAGCCCTTCCTTGGAAATCAGCGTTTTTCATTACTATCTTAATATTGTTGTTTAGCAAATATGTCATAACAAGTCTTTTCAGAAAAGCGCTGTTATAGTGACAGGAACTAAAACTAATTTTTTTGTCTAAGAGTATTTCTTACAAGCTGGGTAAAAAATTGTTTGAAATCTCAGTCTCCGTGCAAAACCCTTATAAGTCTGTCTAATTCATTGCCTTCTATCGGTTGTACCTGGAGAAAGGTTACTTCATATCACGTAGCATCTTGGAGTCTGTCAATACAGCCAGTCTTTCACTTTTAACCTCGCTTTCAGCTATATAGCTAGTATTAGTTTACTCGTTCTGCTTGTTGTTTTTCTGAAACTAGTATAGAACAGAATATAAGTCCACAAAAATATGTTGTTACACATACCATGATCGTTTAGTGGAGAGCAATCAATTCCATGTTATCTGGTCCTGAGTACTGACCGAATTATTTCGACCATTTTGTGAAATGGCCACCAAGCCAGGAGATTGTTGCAAAAACTTTCACAGAAGCCTAAACATATATACACATATTTTTCACGCATCGTGTGTGAGAGAAGAAATCTTAACTAACAATTCGTCAATCAACTCACATAACTAGTTAATACGTTCATGAGTTTGTGTTACTTTTGGTTCTGGCTACAGTCAACTTTCTTCTTAATAATCCTACCTCAGCTTGTATAAACACTTCAACATTGATGGCTGCCACGAATGCTAAACCTGTGTCGAAGCAATGTTAGTACATATTCATAGGTTTATTGACTGACTTACTTTCCTTGGCCATTACTCTAAGCCTAAAGTCAGTACTATTCACTCTGCGGTACGGCTACATTGCAGCAATGCCATGGAAAAAAATTTGATGGTAAATTTCTAACTTTTCTATGCCTTTCATCTTCAGTAACTATATATCAAACGTAGAGTAGAAGGAATTGTACTGCTGCATAGTATTTTCAGTCTATGATACAGGATAGTATGTTTTGCTGGTGCCATAAGTAGAGTTCATCGGAAGTATCTGTCTGATTTTTGAACCCCAGACCCTGCAAGAAAACAACCCATTAGTGTTGGTATAGCTTTTAAAGTGATTAAAGGAAGGATCATTATGAAAGTAGTATAGAAACGAAAATTCCCTAGTAATTTGAACTTTTCGTCACAGATCACAGATGTATAATGAAGTACGAGCAACACCTAATTATTCAGCAGAATATGTTAATTAACATGTACCGACAGCATAATAATATGAAATATGTTCGTATTTTCGATTTCTTTTCGGAAAATATAAGATTTACAGATTAAAGGAGCTTTAAGTGATTTATCATATCCCATACACGTGCATGCCATAAAACTGTCTAATTAAATTTGCAGGTTAGACTCAAATTAAATCTATTTAGCTCCAGTATTTTTTATCAAAGGTAGACAAAAGAAGTTATGCATTTGCAAATGAATGCTCACCAGTCAATCGTTTACTAAACATTTCAAATGAAATGTAGTTACAATTTATATATAAATCAAGGAAGTTGTCTTTTTCACCTACCTAGACAGCATCGTTTCAACTACGGGCGGCACAGACGAGGATATCAAAACCAGGATCGGAAAAGCAAGACAAGCTTTCATTAACCTGAAACCAGTGTGGAGATCTTCAGCACTCAGCATGTGGAACAAGATCCAGATTTTACACACCAATGTCAAGTCAGTGCTTCTATATGGTTCAGAAACTTGGCGCTCCACGAAAAGCACTTCCAACAAACTACAGACATTCATCAACAGCAGCTGCCTACGCTCACTCCATACTGAAGATTAGATGGCCAGAGAGAATAAGAATAAGCAGCAAGGAACTCTGGGAACGAACCAACCAAGAACCCATTACCCAACAAGTATGCAGAAGAGGGTTGAAATGGATTGGATTGAGCATACACTGAGAAGACTACTTAGGGACATCAGGCCCTCGAGTGGAATCCATGAGGAGCGTTTCATCATATTATGACACTCTCATATGCCAGAAAGTATGCTTCCTGATTACACAAGGACAGGAGCAGTTCTTCTTCCTAGAATATCATGATTCATCTTAGAGAAGTTAAAGCAAGAATACAGATCGTTGCATCAAGATAAATGATGTTAAGCGTTAATTTTAGACCCTAAGTTTCTGTAGTGTGGAGGCACCAGTAACGACCAATGCATTTGCTAAGAAATAAAACAATCTTTTTATTCAACAATGTGATTTTCATTATTAGTTTGACTGGCGTCAATTTGAAATATAAAGTACTTTTTAAAAAAATCATGGTATTTTAATAAATTCAGCAACTGTTCAGTAACCATGGTAACAAGGTCAAACTGATTGTTTGTTTGCGATTCAAATATCTTAGATTGTGTCAGAGACCATAAATACAGTTCGGTTGTGTACAGAAGACATCCAGGCGTAGCTGGTATATAAAGACAGCATATTAGTCTGGCGTACGGTTTAATGAAAGCAGTTTCGACTGACAAGTCGATATTTGAAGTATTCTTTAAGGTATATCTTGTAGAGGAGATTAGCTACAGATAGAAACAAAAGAAAACAAATAAAAAAGTGACTAATATCTGCTTCTAGTTTCGAACTATTAAGCTAAACAAATAAAAGCTGTCTCTATTACAAGCTATACACTTAGAATATTTGATAGAACAGATGTATTCAATGAAATTCGGCACTGTTTCTACTACTTTAACCAATTAAGTAGCCAAGCTGCGTAAGCAACAATTTGAAATGACATTTGCCAAATGAGCTTTGAGAAGACTAAGATTTTACTGCACGATGCTAGATCAATGAACATTCTCGCTTACTAGTATGTTGTAAGAAATAAAAATTTAGAGCGCTCACCACATTTTTGTTATTTTGCACTAGCTTGTGATTAAAACTCAGTGAATCAAGTCAGTAAGTTGAATAGAATCTAATTTACTACATTATTTTCAAAGTTTTAGTGTGGTCAACTTAGTTATACTGTTTATGATTAGTTGAATTTTTTAGTTAAAAGTGTATAGATATTTCTTCCTTTTCGATACATTATTTTGAATAGCTTTTATGTATGTAGCCGAAGGGGATACAGTGAAATTTGGTGAAAATTTTGTAATATGTAAAATTGGTCTTTCTTGCATTCTCTTTAGCCAGTTATTTGATCACCATGAGGAGCGTTTCCAGAAAACCATATACCCAGTAAAGGAATGAATATCCTATTAACCAATAATAGAAAAAACCAAAGTCCAGGTAAAAATAAGATGCTGTAGCTTTGAAAGAATGTGTGACATAATGATTCGGTTGTTCCAGTCTAAAGCATCTTATCAAATGATATAATTTATTTGAAGAGATCAAATAGTGAAGAGCTAAAGTTTTGTATCCTATTCATCAGTTCTTTACAGCATTTCTTTATTGCATGAAATATAGGGTTTTCACAGATCGATGATGAGAGCAACATTTTGTGCTGACCATAAGTCTATAAATCATTGCAATAGTGAATGAGGAATAAAAAGTTGATCGTTATAAAAATTATTTCTTTCTAAATTTATAGTCTTCCAGTAAACTTTAAACTAACAAACTGTTAAATTATGGAAATATTACGAGGCATTATTCTGATTATTATTACAGTTCTCATAAAACGGCATCATTTGTTATGAAAAATCAAATATCTCACTCATCATACTGCGAACTCCTATGATCTTACTCAAAACCATCATAACTGAAAATTGCTAATCTACTATTTCAATTATCTGTATCATGATTTCATTAAAACTAAGGATATCAACAGGCGTAGTGTATGCTTGTGATTTTCAAACGAAACTGCTCAACCTTTTCTTTGAAAGTGCTAATTTCTGTCACTCGATAGTTCACCGGTGTGTACTTTTAGAGTACCATGAAATGAAACCAAATGAATAAATTAGTTTCAACCAAGAGTTGTTTACTTTGGCGATCATAACTATTTTAAACTGTTTCATAGTTTATTCTACCTTTATTTTTCAGTGATGTATCTCCGAAAAAATAGGTATTTGTTACATGCGATAAAACTTAAAAACAACTTTTGATACTGGGCGATGATGACTGAAGGTGAAATAAAATTTCGGCCGCAGCAGGATTCGAACCAGCAACGTTCACTTTTCCGACCCGGTGTCCTATGAGTTGAGCTACGAAACCGATGGTTCAAATCCTGTTGCGGCCTAAACTTTCATCTCACCTTCAGTCAGCAACGAGTATCAACAATAATACAAGCCTGCCAAACCGCAGCTATCTTAGATAATCAAGTTGATAAGAAGTCAGTTTGTTTATCTGGTATCAGTTAACTTGGGCTTTAAGAGGCTAGAAATGGTATCATTGTTTTTTTCTATCAATCCAAGGAGGCAACACTTTTTAGATTATACTTCTGCTTACATTTTGACAGTGTTCACTTCTTGAATCCTATTTTGACCAGATAGTGTTACTGTCTATTCTTTCTAACTGAATATACACCTTTCTTTTACTTTATATGTTGTATAACTCGGTATTTACAGTGTAGAGCGGTAGATTTCATTTGTTTGGCAGTGACAATGTTTTCAAACGTTCTTCATAATTCATTTGCACAATCCATTTTCTTTTCACCAACAGATGAATTGTCGTTTGTTTTCTCAGGGTTCTTTAGAATTCACTGGAATGGCGTATAAGGTTGCTTTAATGACAGGTAGCTGATAAGCGACTATGTCTATTAACTGTGAAGTAGAATCACTACAACATGTACTTCTTGTTTTTAATGAGTTCCATACACTATGTGTTTAATAATTTACCCAGTTGTTCTTTTGTTTGGTGAGCACTATGTAGTTCTTTATTGGCTACAGCTGTGTTGTTTCTGATGATCAGGAAAAAAATGAAAGCTTCCTACTACTTTTCCTTGTCTTGTTACTTTACCGTCGAAGAAGGCACTTATAATATACTATAACCTACAGATTAGGTCTAAACTTCTTATGTGATCAGTGTGAAAATGAAAGTTTCCCACTTCCGATCAAAGCATTCAACATGACAAAAACTGTTGTAGAGACGCTTTAGTCGCCATCCACAAATCATTTTGCGAATATAGTCCATTCATAATGGGGCTGTTCTTGAATACATGAATCAAGCCTCTAACTGCAATACTAAGCGTACATGTTTGTATCTTAACTAAAAAAATAGCTTCTTTTAAGATTCAAAATATATGTCCCCAATGAGTGCAGCTGCAAAAAAAATTCTCCTGTTGATTCAATCCAAACATCAAACAAAAGATGGAATTACTGAGTTGAACACACATACCACTATAGATCACATCTGAAGTGTTTGTATCCATGTTTGTTATATTTTCCATGTCAATATCCTCTGGTTTGATCTGATGATTCATATGAACGATTTTTGGTTGTTTCCTATTAGCTATATCCTCATTGTTAGCTAATTTATTTTCTAATCGCCAGCTAACAGGACATCTTCGTGTTTCAACACCAGAGCTTAACTGGATGTTCCAGTCACACGAGATTTCATAGAATATTTCATTGCTTCTGGAGGCGATTAGGTTGATGACATCCTAGGAAAATTTAAAAAGACAAAATATTGGGTTTTCAGGTTGTTTTTACCGAAAACTGAAATCAGCCAGTCACACTAGCTGATATTTGAAATTCCTTTATGTTAAACAGAACTAACAACTCATCTTTCCGCTGCTACATAATATCTCGTAGTTAAATGGAATCTCATTCCAACTAGATAACTAGAATATATGCATAATGTAGAAACGATAAGGTAGTAACAAAATAAATATCCGTCAAAATCTTTTAGGATTGTCTGAGCCATTAATTGGAGTCTACGTTGGACTGCATGTTTTTGATGGTCCCGTCAACATAGATTAGTTTCAGCTTAGTTTTCAGGTCTTGAAAAGATCTAGTTATTCCCTGAGTTTTGTTTTGTCATCATCTCGAAAATCGTAACGAATTTTGTTACTATAATAGTACTGTCTAAATGAAAATAGTGGCAAGTTATGTATGCATATGTCCACAGTGGACCATTCACTTGAGCATATGCGTACTTCATGCTGTGTGCGTGTTATTTCTAATCAGCAGCCGATGATTCTGCAAGCTGATATTTTGTGATAAAATTCGATAGCACCACAAATACGGTTATTATATTGATCTGAAAATGCTCCAAGGTTTTCTCTTATTTGGATCTCGTGACGTCGGAAAGCGCTTAGAGGTAACACCCAACAGGGATAAAGGCCATCCATGAACCCATAAAAAAATATTGTGACTCACCAGAGACAAACAGTATTACGAAATCAGATAACAGTTGTTCACTGCGCCAAATTTAAAGTCACGATATCATTAATGGATGTAGTTTAGTTCAAACGAAGTAAGACAATGCGGTAAAAGCTCACTTAACAAATAGGTCTTGATCAATTCTTGCTAAACAGGACTGGTGGAGAATATGAGCATCATGTTGAATACTCAGACATTTAGAACTTCATCTCAGATGACTATGGTATTTAAACTTAACACCAACGTGTAACACAGTAGTGAGTCTGCATCCTTTAAATTAGAGTAGAATGAAGAATACAGATTCCGTCCTGGAAAATATTTTATTTTTTGGATAAATACCATGAATAATTTAATGAGTTAAGTCTGCATCCACAAGAGGGTGAAATTCTGGACAAAAACTGATGTATTAATATAAGTGAAAAACTTCGGCACTGGTAGAATGTAATTCCATATTAGATTTGTTTATTTGATATAAAGCGCACAGTGATACAGTATTATTTAATTGATTACGTTTCGAGCATAAATTATTGCTCATAATCATATCAATGTGATATGATTATGAGCAATAATTTATGCTCGAAACGTAATCAAGTAAAAAACTGATGTATATTTACTGCTGCAATGCTGTATTCCAAAGTGATTTTCCAAAATAGCAGATCATGCTATATTCAGTAGCCGGTGGTCTCGAACCTTTCATCACTGTTAGCTGCATTTATTGCAGATAGTCTAGAGTATTTGGGAGAAAGTCACATGATGTTTAGTCTCTTAGCTTGACTGTAATTCATTCTGAACTGAACTGGTTCATCTGTAATATTTAGATGAATAGCTAAGTTGTGAAACTCATTGTTTTCATGTATTATATTTGTTCTTTTAAAGTTTTATCTCATGCTACCACCAGTTTGCTTGGATCAGGGTTTCTTGTCAAATGTGCATCATCATTCAACACCGTAACTGCCTTTACACCTTTAAAATTCACGAAATTATTTCACTGCTATCCACAAAATATCATGTTACAGTAAGAATTCCGAATTACCTAGCAGAAAATCACTATCATATATGAAAAGCTGTGATTAGAGTCAACATACTTTTTGAAAGAATACAATTGAAGACCAACACCTCTTGAATGAATCACTAAAAACCAGGACTGAAGAGAAAAGCAATTCTTCTAAGTTTATACACCCTCAGTATTGCTAAATTATACCATTAAGAGACGTGTCAGGAGTTTGAGTGTATATTATGTATAATAAAAATCGTATTTTATGCAAGCATGGTGTAGCAGTCAGTTAAAGCTTCTTTATTCAAGCGTTCAAAAAAACTTAACGTGTTTCATAAGAAACATTTTCATTATGCCAGTAGTACGTCAATAGTGCCAAAATTATAACTCGCTCATATTTACATTTTCGAAGATAACACATCCTTCAAGTATAGGAATTAGTAGTATGTTGATATGATAATTTTAAAATCTTAACAGTTTTTGTTGTATATATTTTGGTGGATTATGTAAACCGTAGTTGTCACATTTTCGTTTACTAATGTCCCTCCAACGGAAACCGTTGATTTAATTGTGAACAGTTATTAGAAATAAAATTAGACACTGGCATTCCGATTATGAATTTGAAAGAACTATTGCTAAAATGCATAATGAATGTCCAGCTCATCCTTCAACAGTAATCTGTACAGAAACGTTGACGGAGTGACTGTGGATCTGCATTGGGACCAATATTTGCAGACACATTTTTGGCAAGGTTAGAAAGTGGTCCTTTGATCAAGTTGCTAATATGGAGTTGAACTGTCGATACATGGCTGATACTTTTTGAGTCTTTGATAGGTGCATATGTAGTAACTCTGTTGTGAACCATTTCAACAGTGTTCATTCATCAATTCATTTTACATACAAAAATGAAATCGGTGATTCAATACATTTTCCTGATGTGCTAATGACAAGAAACAAAGATGGCTCTGTACTGAAAAGCATATACAGAAAACTAATGTCTAAGGCACAGTATACTCACTTTCTCAACTTCTTACCGATCAAGTACAAAGGCAATATAATCAGGTGCCTGGCTTTCAGAGTAAGATCGATCTGTTCCAGAGTGTGTGGAAAAGGAACTACTATGTATCCGTGATATTCTAAGTGAAAACGGATATCCTGACAAGTTCATCAAAACTAACATCAACTACATTGGTCCTAAACGAGAACTGATGACAGTGGAGAGGAAGCCTTTGCTTCTGCATTTAAAATTCAAGGGAGATGTTGCAAGTGACATTCTATCACAACGCTTAGCTAGAGCAGTCAAAAGAACGTCCTATGCAGGTAGGCTTTGTATATTATTCAGTAGTCGGCGAATGCTCAGTCCAAGACTAAAGGATAGCCTACCTAATCTTAACTCTTCATCTTGCATATATAAACTTGACCGTTTCTATGAAACTAGTTGCATGGGGTGTAAGACTAAGCAGGTGTGTCTCCGGATACGAGTGCATTTACCAGCTTGGTTCAGAAAGCGCGAAGTGAAAGTGACGAAAAGTCTAGTCCTAGCGCATCTAGTCGATACAGAGCATCACGTAAACGCTAATAAAGCTTTCACTGTCATTCATCGTGTTCCAAAAAAGACCACGTGCAGCTCATCAACGCCTGCTCAACATAGCGGAGGCTGTCATAATAAGATTGATCAAGCCTCAACTCTGCATTCAGAAAGAACATGTCCAAGCGTTACCTCTCCCCTGGTCTTGAGCAAATTAAAGGCCAGTCCTGCCATCTTGTTCGGTATCTTTTGTGTACCATCATATCATCCTTCTGTATATATCATCCCAATATCGACTAATTTAAAGAGATAAATCAATTTCCTTATAATTCTTATCTCTTTTCATTTTGGAAACGTAACTGTCAATGACATGGCTTGTTTTTTTGCTGTACAGATGCATTTTATAATTGTAGAACCTGAAGAGAATTTGGTGAAAATAATAGTCTTCGTTCAGATTGTTGCTTTTTACACCGTACTTGTCATCGGTTTGGATACTGCTAACTTATCGAAAATTCTACTTTCTTTATTTTCAATATACAGCCGACTATTACTTGAGGAACTAAAAATGTATCAAAAATCAGTCAAAATTTTCATTTACCAACGCTACTCTGCACAAACATAATACCTTTGATTCTTAGGTTTCTATAGCTCAGACGTACTAACTGCATGTCAAAATAACTGCATCATTTTATTTCCCCTCTTTAAACTACTATCATGTCAATCCTGGTATACATATACAATTCAAACGGTAGTTATTTCAGGTCTACTAAATGAGTGTTTATTCACTTGATATAACATATGGTGAAACAAAGTTATTTGCTGATCCAATGAATTATAATCCATCACTGTATGCTAATTCATATAGACTAGCTAAAAGTGAAATTATACTCCTCCTAATGTGTTTAAATTCTACTCTTGGATGAGTATTCGTTCAATTTTTTTATATGTTGGTCTACACAGCACAAAACAGAAAATATTCAGTCGCTTTTTTTATTTCCAATAAATCTATGCAGAAAAGAAGCTAATTAATAACAATTAAGTTCTTCATTTTGTCAAGTCAGTGAGCGGAAGTGGGAAATATTGGAGGTGTATTAACTCCGTTCAATTAATTAGTCCATCAGTCACAGTTTCATCTAATGAAAAAATAACTCACTTGCTCAGCATTCGTTAAATAACCCATATTTTTCATAATGAATTTAGTAGCGCTCATCCATAAATTATTCCATGGTATGGAACGTAATTTAGTCAAGTCCAATAAAGCAACTCCAGTATTGTATCCATACCCCTTATGAAAGTTTAAAGAAAAGAAAGTTAAAAGATCTGAATGACTAAACATGATATGAAGATAGTTTTCCTTGAAGAATACTACCATTCGTACAAACACTGAAATTAATCAATACTGAATGGCGATTATGTCATAGGTTGGGAGCTTTCAACAGTGCTAACCCTTGTTTACATACAAAGTCTTTAGGGCAGGTTTTCCGGAGACTAGATAATCACCCAAAGAATGGGAAAGGACCACTTGGAGTTCTCAAGATAATATCGAAAATGCATTGTGCCCCCAGGGTTTTCAGAAATTTTCTAGCGCAAGTCCAAATGTCGTGAAAAGTATCCAGAGAATAATTACTGCTTAGAACAACTGACTAGAAAAACCTCGTTACACTACCATAGAATGAAGAAACTAAAAACACTAAAACCTTAAAAACTACTATTAGGCGTTACCTTGAGTTCTTTTGAGATTACAGTCTGACTCTACTTGCTCAATTCTACCTACTTAATGCCTATATCAAGAAGAGATACAGTGTTTATGTAACTTTTAAGTATGACTTTGAATCCATTAATGAACTCTGGGAACTGGCCTCAGAAACTTGGTATACTAGTTTGAATAGTAAAGTAATTTTTTGAAGCGAAGGCTATGGCAAATAAAAAATTTCCTCTTCAGCAAGCCTATTCTTTTAGCTGTACGTCGTGAGCATGCATTTAAAGGGTAGAATATTTCAGAATGACTTCTGGTTAGTGGTCAAAATACACAAATTAATAAAAGGAGAGTAATAAAATACCAGTGAGGATTTAGAATAGAAAGATATTTATCTGATTAAAAGTGATATCATTAATGGATTTTTAGAATGATAGGCGTGGCAAATTAGGAACCACCATCTTGAAAGTTGAAGGAAATAATCATTCTACAAGTTGACCATGCAAGTACAGTTTTGGTATATCAATAACCATTCAGAATTATTTATCAATTACTAACCTACTTATGTTAACTCAAGCAGAAATTTACATGCAAAGTAATCTGTGTAGTGTCAGAAAAGTAGATTACTTTAACTTGGATTCAACTTTACTACTGACATTGTTCGTTTAACATAGCTTATTTCTGAGTCTTACGCAGATTGATATGCATAGTAGTCACAGATGCCAACAATAATACAGACACTCATATTTAACGGAGAATACTCTGAATGCTTCAACTCTGAGTGAATTTGTTTAAAACCTATTGCATGAAAATGCGCAAATTTCGTTTGTCAGAAACTGATAGTGATATTTAATTTACTAGTCTTCGTTATTTTGCTGATTTGCATTCATCTGTGTTATTTTCTACTAGTAGCTTGGATCGCATTCCCTTTTTGTGTTGTTTTTTAGACAATCTTATAAATGTTTGGAAGAATGCTCTTCATAAAAGGTACTTGAGATATTTTTTATTGATTACTGGTCAGTTGTTGCTGACTGATTGATATCGATCACAGAATCAATAGTGATTACTACAGTGAAGCTGTAGGACACTGGGATGCATAGTGCTTAGTCACAGATTTTAGAATTGTCTAACATACAGTCAGACTTGATCCCGATTTCATATCTTTTAGCTATAAATAACTCATATTTGCTGTAGGAAAAGAGATTCTTTGTAGTTTTTTCCGACTTAGTTCATAGAAAATCATTTGTTTTTCCACCATCTACAATCATTTTACTAAGTAGCCATAGATCTTATTTGTTGATATTTTTCGGTGCAAACAAATAGTTCATAGGTAATTCACTTATCTACTATAATCTTGGTTGATCAGCGCCATTATTCGCACTGAGAAAATAATTTGAGTTGGGAGAAAACACCTGTTAGGGTTTGATTTACGCACAAAAGCGATTAGGCTGATAAATAACCAATGGCGTCAGTTATTTGCAACTGAAATTTCGAGTACGAGAACGCGTTTATTTGAAATTTTTCTTTCTTTATGTTTGCTTATAGTGCCTATAATTAAGCATAATGTACTGGGTCATGATTGAAGGTGAGATGGAAATCCGGCTGCGGTCCAGATTTCCATCTCACCTTCAATCATGACCCAGTACAAATAATAGTCTGCCAAACTACGGCTATCTTAGATAGTCAAATCATAAGCATAATGTGTTAGATTTTCCAGAAAGGAATGTGCATGAATATCAAAAGCATGGAATGCTGGTGTCATCCTGATATACATTTATCTCATACTCGTAATAGTTTCCAACTATCTATCAACACTACCTATATTTCATGACATTTGATTCTATCTAGCGAGGAGCATTACGGTGGTGTATTTTTCGTCAGAAAAGGTGTTCTATAAGTGCTCCGTTCTACTTAAAACTTTATACTCAGCCAGCAAGCCATGTCTCAGCGTACAATGAGTTATCACGTGAATTTTGCATGCCCTTCAGTGATGTCAGATGGTTTGGTTTAGTTTTGTCATAAACATGCTTATAAAAGATGTTTTTTCTTCAGTGCACGTGTACAACTTGAGCACTGTGATAGAATGTAATCCCATATTTGATTTCTTTATTTGACATAGATAACTAGATAAATATATATTAACGAAACTGTTTCACTGTGTGCTATATCAAATGAATAAGCCTAGTATGGAATTTCTCTCTTCTCATCTGACCACAAGTATTGACCTTGTGACAGAAGTTTGTGTATTGGACCCAGAGTGCAAAGATGACATAGTCTTGTTGGGCTAGTACTGTAACAAGATGCTTAGTCTTCTGCTTTTCATGAGTGATAATTTGAGAATGTCTAAAATAAGTTTCTTACCACCCAAATGCAAGTTATCGCTTCAGGACCAGGTTGGGTTGATACCTTGACTACTAGTAGGGAAGAAAGTAGTGTAAAGTATAGACCACATCACTTACGTGAGAAGTCTCACTAGCCCTTGGCAGATCAGCAACCGTTAAATTTTTGCATGGATACAAAAGACGTGTTGAGCTTCTGTCAACTTATACCAACTCTGGTGCCGCCCAGATATCCTAGTAAGATTCAAATCTAATGCACATCGGTTTGTTCTGTTCTGCTCGATGGATAAAAAACATACCCATTAAAGAACAAAAGTAAACAACGCATTCACTGAGCTTAACCATCGTTTGTTTTATAGCACTTCCCGCATTTCTTGCAAGCACCACGTAAGTAGTGAGGTTAGGCCTAGATTTCTGGGTAAAAGATGTGGAACAGTTTATAGATTTTCAAACCAAACTGAGATTCGGTCTTTCGAGGTTAGTCAGTTGATGAGTATCTAAAGCCTTATTAACTAGTGTTTTCGGGATATGTGCTATGGAAGTTTCGCCATTATATGCCGTGATACACATTCTCATCTCAGGTGCAGTTAGGTAGGAAAAATGTTTAGAGTAGATTAACTAAGACGTGTGGACACTCCATTATTCCATGAAGCCTCTCAACCTTGGTGTGATCTATATGGGGAGAAGTGGGCTACCAGGTTGAAATGTATGAAACAGATGCAAAGTATGGTTTAAGACTCTAGATGATGTTGCTAAGAATCGATCACAGGGATGTAGATGGGTTCAAGCTCTATCCTTATGTAAGTCCATGTGTCACATTTCGTCATTCGTTCCATCTACCCTTCTTTTCTCCAGTGTCTTTCTCTGATTTCTTATGACATAGTTTCCAAACACTTGTCTTTCTTATTATTGTATTGTATCTCAGTGTCGTCTGCATTACAAGCAACAAAATGAAGATGATTACGAACTAATGAAGGGTGATGAACTAGATTGGAGTTGAATTGCTTCATATTCAGTGAGGAAATTAAGATTAATACCAGTTGTTCCATCAATACTTATACTGCGTGATGATTGGTGATGAAATGAAAAGTCGGACCGCGGTCGGCTCGAACCAGAGACCACTATATTTCAATATTTGTCTGATATTGGTGATATATACCTGTTAATTTGAGTAATTTGTCTCGACATAATATGATTAAATTTTTTGGTTGGTTATTCCATCTAACCCACCATCCCTCAAATCTATCCATCTTTCAATACTGTATTAGAAAAGAACTATACGGCATTATCTTAGTAACGCGAAACACGTGTTAATTTAAAGCACAATCATCTGGAAATAATACAATAAAGTAAACTAAGTAGTGGTTCAGATAAAATCCCGACCAAAGACTGTTGAGTAACTTAAACGTTTGGCAACCGAAGTAAGGCAAAAAAAGGCGTTAACTTGTTTATGGAATCTAATTAAGCAAGGCTAAGACAAAGTTCGCACTTAGTAATGGTCTAGCTTTTCAATCACTTACTGTCATTCCGTTCCATGCTAACTGGCTACAGCGAATTTCTGATACTTTGGAAAACTTGGTGATTATTTCAAATGGATGCCAAGTTTGAACAGCTCGTGAAGTTCCGGTTGGAATTTATATTATTGTCAGAACACAACGCATTTCTGCTTTTGAGCTCTAGTGTGAAATGAAACGATTAAACTAGCTGAAATTTGATACATCACCGTGCCTTCCACAACAGTCAGTGTCGTTCAGTGCACGTTCACTGTGTCTTCTAGAACCAACATTAATAGACTGGTGAATTCGGGAACTGCTGACGCCAATTCAACCTTTCCGATAACATGAAATTTTATAGCTTATATCAAGAGCCAATAACATACATTACCGGTCTTTTAATACTTGATTATATAGGTAGGTATAAAGTCTTAGATGTGGAATCCAGGACACACATCTAGTCCTATTTGGGATTCATCAGCTTGATGTACATACACTCCAGTGAGTGATGTTGTTCCCACTAAGACTCGAACCCTGTGTGCATCGCTTCAAACGCCGAAGAACTATGCACTAGGCCACTGGGGCAGTGACAGCCACCGTTAGTGCAACGACTATCACTTGCTTTCGTTTGATACTTGTGATTTCCCGTTGCTATACAAGGTCGAATTATTCGATCTCTATTGGCTGTTGGGATCCTGTGCCGATGTCTTGATACCACTGGACATTCACATTGTTTTATTTATGAAGGTTGATAATTCTGTGAAACTCAAAGTGAAAATCGTTGTTAAATCCATATTCAATATGCTAATTATTCTGAAAAAACACTAAACCAATGACGTTAATTACTTTTAAGGAATCATTGGTCGATTGTAGGTCTAAGATTACATGAAATGAAATAGACATATTGCCTTTGTTAGTAAAACACCTTAACCATACTTACTTTCCAACTTTTAACTAGACTGCTCATAACAGTCTCGAAATAGGGGTTCTGTTCAGTTGTTATGCCTATCATCTAAAAAATGAAAAGAAGCAATGATTATGTGAAGGACATCTCAATAGTTTAGATTCATAATATATCTATTTTTTACCTTTGAACATAGTATGTGTAATCAACGATGGTAATGATAGAATCCTTAGCAATCAGATAGCGCCACATATTCTCTTAACAGTAAGATTAGAGAGATCAACCTTGGGCCTTTAAATCACTAACGAATATCTAGCAAAAGACACGGCTAGTAGGTTGTAGCAAAACCGCTAAGTGGATATCTATTGTTGATTTGAATCAAACCACATTTTAACCTGTCAGGTTTCCAAGGCCACCAACTTTATTGCTTAGTGCCAGGAAGCATAAAGTTTATTATTAATATTAAAGTGAACCTCTTTGGAAGCGCTGATCTAGTAGTGGTTTTAGGAATCTCAGTCTGTGTTATAATACGAAATTTCAACTGTCGTACATAGAAAAAATAATATTGTTATGTACACTACAGCAATAGGTTCTGATGAAATAGCTGTTATTTTGGTACCTGTGAACAAATATGTCTTGTGGTATACATGGAATCTGTTTAAGGTTAATTGTCAGGAGAAGAAACTGCTGGTCAGGACTACCTAGCAGGTGACTTCACTATGAGTAACCAAACGCACAGTACCAACCAACAGTATGTTTTGAATAAAGACAGTATTTTGAATAGCATCTGGGCAGGGGTTTCATTGATAACATAAATGATGAAATCATTATAACATAGGAATAATAAAAGGTAGTAAATTTTGATCATGATCCTTGAAATAATAGACAATATCTGATCATTATTCAACCTAGATGTGTCACATACATTTTTTTGCCCAGTTCACCTACTTTTGTACCTTAGGTGTGTCATCAGCTCCCATGGAAAAGGAACCCTTGAATACCATGTGATTTATGTGTGTGGAAGGTGAGTACGAGGTTTCGGCAAGCTTTGCTGTACAATATATTTGAGGTGGCGATAAACGGGCACACTTCTCAGGCAGCTACATTATTCTCTTCTGATAAAAGAAAACTTCTGGAAGTTTAAACAACGTAATGATAAGACGAAGATTATCTGAAACATGTTATGTATCAGCGCTATACATTTCGAACAATCTGATCACATATGGACTTGTCGAAGTATTTATGTGAAAATTTACGAAAAGGATCAATGAAGTTAATAGGAAACATAGGAATAAGAATGGAGAGAAGAAAAAAACGTTACTCTTGGTATGAAAATTAAAATCAATACCACCAAGGTAGGTCCAACCTGAGTACAAATTGTTTTTGTATACATAAAAGGGGTTTAAATTTACAAATGGCAAAAGCTTCAATAAATTTAAGCACTCTGCTCTGACCACTTTTATGTAGTAATGTATAGTGCTTATACATCACACGTTTCAGATAATCTTCGTCTTCTCATTACGCTGTTTAAATTTATCAAAGGGACCAGCTGCTTTAAACTTCTGAAAGTGTTTTGAAAAATTCTTTTACTTCTTATGCGGATTTTATAACACCTGTAGAAGTACAGCATTTATCTGCACCCTAGTTATTTGTAATATACGGATTTAATAACCTATTTCGTGTTATAAAGCAAATATCTACAATCTAAACAATTAAAAAGGTCATGATGAAAACCTTTTACTTTTATCATTCACGGAAATTTCGTTGTCAGTCATTTATTATCTATTAATGTTCCTCAAATTTTTGTTGTATACCACTTTCTATATACACCGCAATAAGTTATTTTCTTCACTTAGGCTATTCTGACTTCTGATCAGAAAACATTCCGTAGACTTTGATCCTTTTTTAATGTACCTACATGGATAAATTTAGGAGAATAAATTCGTCAAATGCTTCCTCTGTAGATTTCTTTTGCACCTCTAATCTAAAAAGATTTATTAGTTTAAAATTCTGCTCGAGTGATGATTAAAGGTAAAATGAAAACCTGAGGCGCCGCAGGATTTTAACTAATGGCCTCTGAATGACAGTGTAATACCAGCCAACCTAATGGGAGTTGATGTTGGTCAGATATCAAATTCATTTCAATCTCCGAGGGTTTCAGTCAGCTGTCGCGAGATTTTTTGAGCAGTAACCAGTGGTTCAACTACTGCTATAACTCAGAATTTTTGTCTCACCTTTATTCATCACCCCACATATCAGTAATACCGGTCTGAGGAGCCATGGGCATCTCGTCAGCAACATGTTAATTTCAGAAATACTGCTTAATTTATGCCTCTTAGTTCATCAGCAGAATGATAGTCAAATGCAGCTATGAAGACTTTTCTTATCGATCTCGCATTGTTGCAGATATACTTACATAAAACTGGCAATGGATAGTGGCTAGCAGTGGAATCCACAATGCGCGTTTCGTCCTACTTGGGACTCGTCAGCTGGATGTACCTGCCTCCCAGTAAATGACATTGTTCCCACTGGGAATCGAACTTGGGACGGATCGCTTCAAACATCCTACTGTCATCTATTAGATCACCAAGTTACGATAGCCACTTTTTGTGCTACGAGTATAGTTTTAATGTTGTTGCTTGTATTACAAACTTGTATACAAACAACAACACTGACACCTGCGTAATCTTTCCAAAATAAATGTTAGAAAGAAAATGATCTAGGTTTCTGTTTCATATGTAATTCAAAGGATCACAATCTCTGACTGGTCTATGATAAATTTTTATTGGTAAATACTCAAAAAATTGTAGTCAAATGGATTTTTTTTGATGATTATGAATTTTACTGATTGCTTTTGATACCTCTGTGCTTATTGCTTGTAAATGTGTTGAGACGTACCAACTGTACAACCAATATTTTGTATTTGTTTTTGGTTGAAAAGTTGGAACTTCAGTAGGCTTTTTGATTTCTGACTGACATATCTGCAAATCTTCTATGAATGCATTCTATCAGTTAACTTGATTAAGGAACTCTACATATTTTTCTAGTCCACCTAGATTACTCTGATGTAAAATTTGTCGATAATTCAGGCAATCACAAAAATGTGAAGTACCAAAAAAATGCGTTTACGTACAAATCTGTCGTTGGATGACACTAAAAGTACAAATAAGACGATTCCTAACAACAGCCATACAGTTAGCACCTTCTATCGCTTTCATATTTATTGCTGTTCTCAGTAGTCCTTATATCTCTCAAGCAAGTTTCAAAAATATATCAGTCTACTAGGGATTTTTGAAGCAAGTTGCGTTTTGCGATTACTTTCATTCTAGTTAAAAATAACAAGTTAAGTTATTCGTGACTTACTTGAGGACCTGTAAAATATCTGAAGTGATTCCACAGATCATGGATATCGGCATTAAACAGCAGATTGACATCAAGAATGATAACCTGAAACAAATGAATTGTTCATTACGCTTTGCATCATACACTTAATGTTCATATAAAAATCGTGCAGCTAACAAAAGCCAACTTCTAATCATCTTTGAAGTGGGTTTATTTTTAGCCAACTTATAATTGAGGAAATGCACCTACTCTCGATATTCTATTCTAGGCACGTATTCCTCCATGTACAGTCGAAGTGCTGACATTAAATTTCTGTCAATACTTGACCGAATTCTCTAATGTTCATAGGTGTTTATTAGAAGACAAATAAACAGTGACTTACCGTTTCTGACCTAAAATAAATAACTTCGACTAAAAAATGGATGTGTAATAAGGCCGAAACCAAATTTATGGGCAAACTCATTAGAAGAGCCTTGTCTCTGTAGTATTTTTTTCTTCAGATCCCTCAGTTACCATTTATAGTAGGCAAATTAATTGACGGGGCTATAAACCTGTACAGATTCAAATTGTTTGGAGATGTATTATCTATATGTAATTATCATGTACTAAATGCACAGAGATAGAGAAGCAATCTATTAAATATGCAATCAGTGGTCTCAAACGTACTGTAAGCTGTCTGAGTACAATGAGACAGAATAAATCGATCGATGAAGACTTCGAGTAATATGAATCAAAATCTACCAGTGCAATGCAGCTGAAACTGCTCTGTATCTTTGCCAAAGTTTTCAATATCAAAAAGCCTAGGTTATGCAGTCTTCATGGCTGTCTTCATGCTAATAAAGTAATTTGATATTGGCCTACATTGGTTCATGGCCTTGACCATAGTAGCGCTAATGAATTGGTTTTGAGTAAGTCACAACTTCATCCCGAGAATTTGATCATGTCCTCTTAGTATTAATCAAGCAATGGCTACGTGCAAACGAATTTTCTAACAACAGTTATGAGTTACCTTATTTCATGTCGTTGTTAAAAGATTTAGAGTCTGAATACTACGAGATTAAGAGTGAAAATATTTCCAATCTTTCGATGATTCGTTCTATGAGGTTTAATCTATTACTTAGTGTAATCAACCAATTTACGAAGAAGTAAGAGTCAATCGCTGAAGCTTGTCAAAACTACTTTGACTTCTGCTACTATCCAACAATTACAAACTCCAGGCTGAAGTGAAGCCTCTACTTAGAGCCGGAGCAGATTCAGAAAAATTAAATACTGAATGATCGTTAGTTAGTTAGACTAATCCAATTGTACTCCAGTTATTCTAACGGTATATATGTTCCAGAAAACGGATTATTCACTTTGTGAATATGCTGCACCATAATAACTGTTAGATTTTAAGTGTATAAATACATAATTTTTCACTGGGTCATAGCAAGCATAAAATTAAGTTATTGCACCCTTAAATTTGTGACGTATTCACTTCGGGAATTGTACCTACTGGTTCATCGAGCTGTTACGCTTAATGCATTGATTTATTTATCATTAGGTATTAAATGGAACACAAAGCGTATCTGCATAAACACCACTTACAAAATTAAAATAGTTTAAAGAATTTACATACCTGAGTTTCCTGAAGCAAGTAACGTGTCTTAATTTGTATATTTCACTGTACTGTTCCCCCCTATATTTCATTAGTGTTACATTAAGTATATTATATTGTGATGTGGAATGCAAAAGTCATTTCTCCTGTTCAAGAATTGTGAGCTATTGAATCACGATATTACCATTTAGTTAATAATTTTTCTAAGCTATCCACACAATAAGTATGTTAATCATTATTTACCCCTAAAAAACTAAGTGTGCGAACTTAAGAGCTTGGTAGATATCATTGGCGTCTGATGATGTAAGTATCTGTCAGGTGGTTAAAGTTATTTGACAAGGGGCTCTGGACTTTGTTTTAGTGGTTGATGGCATTTTATTCAGTAATAAACATCTAGAACTTTAGTGGGAACGATTCTTTCCTATGGGTCTGAGCTCATGCGATAAGGTGGTGCAGTTAGAGAAGTTCCCAATGAGTGGTTCCAGCCACACCTAATCTTTGTAGGACCATATTAGATACAATGACTGGTCACTGAACAGTAGCCAATTTCATGTTTCTAGTTCGTAAGTGATAAGTGAATTCTACCGATCACATTTACAATGTGGTCACAAAACTACAAGACTCACCCTATTGGTTCTTTTTGATTGTTGTTATCCGGTTGTAGTCAGTCGATAGAATATCAGAGAATTGTAATCATATAGAGTACATACAACCATAACAAAGTGATATTTATGAATACTGTTTTCTGTCCAACAAGTGTTTTCATAGCCGTGGAAATCTATATTTGTTCGGTGTCACAGGTTGAAGACACCATCTATAGTGTTAGTAACTGGAGTTTCAGTAGGATTTTCTTTCACTAAGTCCAACTTCTGAGGTAAAATTTGCACTACCATGCAACTAATGAGAATCGGTTAGTAAATGACAAATGAAGTCCATCTTAGCACACTCCATACGCAGGCAGTACATTAAACATAAATATTATAGAAAATCTGTAGATCCTCAATTTTGTTCACCTTCATTTCTCGCATTCACATATTAGGAAAACCTCAAAACTTGCTTGGTTTCGTATCGACAGTCTTATATATTGCGGTCTAGATAACCTGCCGTGTTAAATGATGACTAAATAAGTGTTTTACATTTGAGACTGGATCAGTGCAAAAGAACTTTTTAAAAATTTCTCTATCTCATTATAATTTGTCGATGAGTTATGGATTATTTTGCTATAACATTACCTTTGAAGTTTTTTAAAGCAATCATCTAGCTCAACTATACCTGTTTGACATATTCAGGTAGAATTTCTGGTAGCAGTAGCTTAATGCAAGATTTAATACCTGCAGGATTTTGTGATGTAATCCAGTCTATTCTACTCTGGAAAAGAGAAATGAGATTTTAATGACATAACAAGCAGGAATTATGTATTGTCTGAAATAAAAAAAGACACTTATTATTCGCTTTCCAAGTTTTATTCGAGGTGTCACAAATTACATCAGGTATAAGTTTAAGAATGTGACCTGTATCTCACTTAAAGGCTATTTACTAGTCTAATTAGTAGTCCAAAGTGCTGGCTGAAGTCTGTCAATTAGATGCTCATCGTGATCACTAAGATGAAGGACACCAAACCATGGTACGTTTAGTTAATTGTTAAGTATTAGAAGTCACCAATATCATTCTCTAAATCTTCAGACTGAGCTATTCCATGGGCAAAACCTCTGATTTCTACACATCTCTAAATTACGCCAACACACGAGAGATAAATGAAACTAGTTGATTTTCTAGTGTCAACGAAATTTTATGAAATCTTTAATACTCTCGGAGTTGTGTCTGAAAGTGACCGAAATACAAGTACACCAAATTAAAATTATCCTGCCTCACTTTCCCGAGTTATTGTAAGCTATAATTACTTGAGAGAACAAAAGGTGTGGTGGCTTCCAGGGACTCGTTGCCTTATTTACTTCAATGATTTTCCCAAGCTTCATGTATGCTTCAGTGATTCCCAACAATTTTGTACACAAGCAACATTTTTCTTAATTTTTGTCGTACCTAACTGATCCTCATTCTTTCTGCTGAACGTTGTGTTAACCAGGTAAACACAAAAATGGAAATGAGTCGCGTTCTTATCTAAATTTTGTTTGAAAGAGCGACAGTGGTTAACCCAAATGCCTGTAGTTTAATTAAGGTCGGCATTTACTTTCTTTCCACAAATGACATTGAAAGATAACTAAAAAACTGTAAACATTTGCTTTGATTCCAAACTTGTTGCTTCATGTAGATAAATTAAAAATAGTCATTACCAGTTTTAAATTAGTGAACTATAGTCTTTAGGGAAGCCTGAGATTCTATTTCACTGATTTCTAGAACTGAACTATTGACCCTTTGTTGGCATATGGGCTCTTAATAGGGAAATTTGATTATGATTTTAGATTACACGATGATATTGCTTAGTACTGACTAACAGCGAAAGCTTGAATGAACATCCCGTTCTAGTTTGGTAATGTCAACTGGATGTAACTGCGTTTCAGTAACGATCGGTGTACACAGCGCGACAATAAATAGCTTGAAAAGTAACTTCACGACAGTCAAAGTGATGGATTTCGGGGTAGAGTTGCAAGCGAGCACATGAACATGGAGGCATATCCTAGTGATGAGTTCAGTATTTCAGTACTAGACACAGATATATGCAAATGTTTTAACTGGTACTGTCATCGGTAACACTCATCAGTACAGCATATCCAAATCTTTGGATAAAATCATACCTCTGCACTTCACAGTATTTAGTTTCCAAGTGCGTATATGTAAAGTGGAATTTCTGCTGAGAGGTGTACATTAATTTGAGTTTAATAACTCAAAACAAAAATTCACATCAAAATGAAATAGTAATGATAATAATAGTATATTTAAACAATAAAACCACTTACCAAATATCGTTCATATTCATAAAACTGGTATTTTACATTTTTCAGTTGCCAAGTTTTTCAATCTTTGAAATTTTGCTCTCATGTATTTATCAATGAGAAAATGAAAAGTAATTAAACCATTGAACTTCAAAGCCTTTACATCTGGACACTGGAATTTTCCATCCATTAATCGTTTGCATAAGTCGGCTAAGCAACATCTGGTGTATTGACAGCGAAAGCGTTTTTGGTGATACATAATAGATTTAATCAAAACTTCAATATTGTTCAGGCCTTTCTCTCCATCGATCACTGAGACAATGTGAATTTTGTTATTCTAATGTTTATGATCAAAATTGAAACAATCATACCAAATAATGAATTTCAGAAAAGTAGAAAAAGAACAAAACAAAACAAGAAGTCTCATACTATCTTCAGTAATTTTTCCCCTCCATAAAGAACGTTCTTCCTTCCACGCCTTCGTTATTTTCTAGGAATTAGAATAAAATGGTGATCTATGCACCGGTGGCAATCAAATAACAAAATTGATGACACGTATATGCACCACAGCAAAATGTAGCGTCTTGAAATCTCCTCTAGACTTTGAAATGCATACTCACTGTGTAATAAGAGATCCAAAATTTTAATTATATTATATATGCACACTATTGTGTCTGGAAGACTGGATGAAATGCTGACAGTATCATTTTGAATACATAATTTATCCCAGTTGTCGGACGTACAGAAAGGCAAACCAGCAAACTCATACTTGTTCTACTGAGGGAATTTACCTCTGCAACGAACAATGACAAATTATGTTTTGAAGTTAGTCGTTGAAGTAGGTAGTGCGTCTCGCTCGTCCACCACTCAGTCCTTACTTAAGGCGTTTGCATAATCTAAATTCATAAGGCGTCTTCGGTGTTTTCAAAACAGTCTGAATTTTGTAAAACCACAAAATGATGCAAAGTAAAGTTTCACAGAGTGGTATGTCAATTAGTGAATAGGAATTCTAAGTTGTATGAACTGAGAAAGGTGAAATGTACACTACGTTGAAGTATTCATTTGCTATCTCACCGTATAATGTCTGTTACAGCAGGAATACAGATAAATAACTTCTGGTTGGTTCAACTAAAATGTGGCATATATATGTATATACATCTCTAAACGTTTTTGTATGCTGACCTCGTCCATTTCGAAAATTAGGATTTTTGCTAGTAACTACAAAAATGTAAGCATAATGTCTCAACATTTCGCTCAATAGCTCAGATCCACTCCCAACTCATTTTACTGCATATAGTGAATGGCTTATTATTGTGTTGCGTTTGACTTTGGGTTTTATTCTATTTCCTCATCCCTTTCCTCATCACAATTATTGCTACAGGAGAGAGTTAGTGAAGTAGAAAACAGAAATCAGTTACTAAACCTTGATGGATTATTACTAATACGTCAAAGCAACTTTACCAAAACATCTGTTTTACAATACTATTTCGCAAGTGCTTTTACTAGCTTTTTTTCCTTGGTGTTTGTTATTATTATTTTGGCTTACTTTTATTGCATACCACACACACAGTGAAACAGCACTGAAAATTGGATGACGTTTTAAACTGAACTTATTGCTTCTAACCGTACAACAATCATATTATTATTTGTCCCATTGGGTTCCTACTACAACATAGGGCTTCAGTAGCACGTCTTCATTTCACCCTGTTCTCTGCAGTCTCTCGAACCTGGCTCCACGACTACCCACAAGCTTGCATTTGTTTCTCACATGATCTCTTCCATGTCACCCTCTCCTTAGAAGTCCAACTCGTCGCTTCCCCTTTGGATACCACTCGAGAGCCTGACCTGGCGCATGATGTTCCAGTCGACCTTTTCAGTGTATGCCCAATCCAGTCCATCTCCACTCTCTTCTGCATATTTTTTTGGGCGACGGGTTCTTGGTTGGTTTGTTGCCAGCCAGCCAGCCAGCCAGCCAGCCAGCCAGCCAGCCAGCCAGCCAGCCAGCCAGCCAGCCAGCCAGCCAGCCAGCCAGCCAGCCAGCCAGCCAGCCAGCCAGCCAGCCAGCCAGCCAGCCAGCCAGCCAGCCAGCCAGCCAGCCAGCCAGCCAGCCAGCCAGCCAGCCAGCCAGCCAGCAGCCAGCCAGCCAGCCAGCCAGCCAGCCAGCCAGCCAGCCAGCCAGCCAGCCAGCCAGCCAGCCAGCCAGCCAGCCAGCCAGCCAGCCAGCCAGCCAAGCAACCAACCAACCAACCAGCCAACCAGAGTTCCTAGTTGCTTATTCTTATTCTTTCTGGTCATCTGACCTGATCTTCAGTATCGAGTTAGCATAGACAGCTGCTGATGGTGAATGTCTGTAGTTTGTCGGAAATGCTTTTCATAGCACGCTAAGTTCCTGAACCATGCGGAAGCACTGACTTGACTGAATTAGTGTTGAAAATCCGGATCTTGTTCACTCTTTATGCTGAGTGCAGTGCAGTAGATCTCCACACTGGTTTCAGATTAATGAAAGCCTGTCCTGGCTTTGATATCTTTATCTGTGCCACCGTCTGCAGTTGAAACGATGAAGAGACTACTTCCTTTGGGATCTCCCGTTGGTACTTGTTGTTGATGTTGTTATGGGCTGGGTAACTTCATCACCTCTGTTTTCTCTACGTTCACTTGAAGCCCCGTCTTCCTTCGCTGCCTTGCCTCTTTTGTCAACTTGTTGGTTTTCGCCTGTAGATCTTCGAGTTTGTGCGACAAGAAATTAGACATCAATCATCATCGTTGGCGAAATTCAAATCTTCTCCTGGGGTCATTTCATCGGTCCAGTCAGCGTATGCCCATCTTCTCACTCCTCACGGCTTGCTGCATGATCCAGTTCAGTCCAGTCGACCACAATCAAGAAGATCATCGGTGGTAGTAGGCAGCCTTGTCTTACTCCTGTCTTCACTTCAATGGCGTCACTGAGCTTTGCATTGTGAATCACTTGGCATGTAGAATCATATAGCATAAAGCTGGTGAACGAGGTTAATAAAGGTTTGTGGCACCAAAACCGTAGTGTTGATTCAGCTGCCAGCTAAGTTACTTCTTGGTCGACGATGTCGGAGGTCTTTTCTAAATCGATGAAGTTGAGGTAACGATCCGATTGACTTCCATTCAATGCTCTGTTCTCTTATGATGCGTAGCGTAGTGTTGTAATTTGGTCCACACATGACTTGTACTTCCTGAAGCCAGCCAGCTAGCCTGTTCCGGTCGTAATTTTGAATCCAGAGCATTTTTGTCAGCAGGTACCTTTCCTTCCTTCCTTCCAAACATTCTGCGGTAATGGTGTGGGCATGTCCGCTGTTGATGTCTCTGCATCCGTTTTCAGTGCTTCTGATGGAATTCCAACTGGTCCTACTGCTTTCCCGGATTTCCGCAACTTTATTGCGTTCAGGACTTCACTTCTACTTTTGTCGGAGGGCTTGTGTTCACTGGTAGTTCTGTGGTTACTGGTGGTATTTCTGAACGAATTTCAGGCGGTGGTGGTCGATTCAAGAGTTTTTTTGAAGTTGTCAGCTCACTGTTTCTTTTATTACTCCTCTCTCTTTGGTAACGAAGTTTCCTTTACCATCTTTCATTGGTTTCGTCTGCGTTGTCCTTCCCCCTCCCAGATAGTAGCCTGGTTATTTGACATAGTGTTGTCAGGTCTCTGTCTCTCCTACCTGCAGCCCGTTCTGCTTCACTCGCTACGTGTCGTATAACCGTACAACAATAATAAATACATAGCTGTGTTCAGTCAGTGGCAAGTCCTGAATTCTCATAGCACGTATATTGACGTTTACTATAAAAGTGATCAGTACAAGCATCAAATAAAGCAGACTTTCAAACACGCTCACCCAAGAAAAGTAAACTTACTGTCACTGTTTTCCTCGGTTGTGGAATTCTTCACATTTATTGTTAGCAATATCAGAGATATGGAATAGATAAATACAATCACAACTACACCGGTAAATACAGCAACAAATCCCTTTGTATTCACTGTAGGATTCCTTTCTTCATAAAGCATACTTTCATAACAATTCAGTGTCAGGCGATAATGATTAGAGAGAACTAACAAAATTTCTTCAAAGTGCTATAAGTTGTCACGCTCTAGTGATATATAAAAGTATATGAAATTTATATTGCCGAGATATTGATTTGCCTGGCTTTAATAAAGTGCCTACGTATGATGAACTATGATTAGTAAAGCATGTTAGAACGTTTTATTAGCCAATCCGATAAAAACACTACTATTTTGCTGGGTTCGTTCATCTGACATGTCAGTTATCAGCAGGTAGAGACTGAGTGGTAACTTACAGTAATATGATAGTCAAACTACCAGTGAAAAGTAATTGAGTTGGTTGCTTGAAATAACAACAGTTTGTTGTACACGTGTCTAAAGTGCTATGGTGATAGCAAATTCTTCGTTTTTCAAATAACTGGATATTGTACACACCTTAAAATGAAACATTAGCACATAAAACTTCAAAACGATAAATAAGGTTGGTTCGCGTATATGGTATGTACACAATGAATATGCGTGTCACACAACACTTTGAGAAAACTCTAATCATCTGAGAGTTTTGTATGCACTAAAAGCAGTTATGAGGAGACCGAAGAGTCAGGTTTTGGTCCCACCGGTAGCTATCGAAAGGATATACATAAAGCATCCTGGAAATTAGGATGTCATTGACTGGTACTTTTCATTTAACGCTGATATTTGAGGAAATACAGCTGAGATATTCTGCATGCAAAAGTGAACCAGACCTAAAGTAAGTTGCCGTATTGTAGCAAAAGTAAGATTGCTTAGCCGTCAGCACCCGAAAGCGTCTGGTAGTTGAACTACAAAATGTGTTTATTAACTTGTAATACACCTTCCTGGCACCTAAACGCAACTAGAACCAAAATATATAGATTAAATTGAACCAACTAAATAACCCCTAACTTGCATCCGGATGTCTAAGGTGTTTTAAGTTTTGTTTTAACGAGTACTCATCCGAGCAGGCTTCGATGCATTTTACGCTTAGTTTTGTGCTGGTTAACACACACGTCATCAGAGTCCCTAACTCAATTACATTAGCCAGATAAGTTGGATAAACTTTTCCCCTAATAATCACTCCCTATAATTCTATTTAAATGTGTTGCCCTTTCCAATATATACCTGAATACAGTACTTTTTGATTTGTGCTTCGTTATCAGTACATATTAGGTAAGGTAATGATTAAGCGGATACTAGTGTATATTGAATTAGGTAGGGTT